ATAAACAAAACTAAAACTATAAAGTTTTCATCGTCAAAACGTTTGGTATTTGTAGTTTGGGGATAGAATTTGAAATATTAAGTTCTTTAAAGGCTCAAAGCAAATGTGCCGTTACAAAAACGGTGAAAATCGTGCGGCCTTGTATAAAAAACAAGTAGTTTTTCGTGTAGTTTCGCGTATAAAATATAACTTACTCATAAAACATTTTTGCAAGCTCTGAACGTAACTGTTTTGCTAATACTTTATAAAATTACGAGATGATAGTTCATTCTTCGTCGGGTTTTGTTTTTCTTCAATCTAAACGAAGTGTTTTCATGTTTTTGAAACAAAAATATTTAGTTGTTGATATTTAAAACTGTAAATCGCCTAAATGATCGTTGAAAACATATGGTTTCAAAAGCGTTGCCTCAAGCTCAAGCAACGTATAAGTTGTGTAAGTTTAAAAAGATTATTGAACTCTATTTATATTATAAAACAGTTGAAATATATTTTTTAAAACATACCTATTGAGTTTCAGTTTGTCTTGATTTTTCGTGTTTTGTTTTGGCTTGCACAACAACGTTGAAAATGTATTTTGAAACGACGATTTCTCTATATATTCTGTTCGGAACTATTGCTCTTCGTAAAAAAACCCACGGGAATGGGTTTTTCTCCATTAAAAACACTTTTTTTCCACTTCAAGTCTGGATAAAATTGTTTTTGCAAACTTTGTTGAAAAAAACAATTCGCACTCCCGGCACCGCGCGAAATTCCACGCCACAGGAGTCTGGGACTAGCCAAAATGCCCTTATAAATCCGCCATTTTGTGGAGACAAAATTTTTACTGAGAAGAGATAGGAGCACGCATTCTATGTCTATTATTTCTATGGGGGTGAGGCAGCACTTTCCTTGCGATAGTAACTTCTAGTAATATTGTTATATTGTGTATGTATAGTTATTATTGATTCAAGTAGACGGTTGTGAATTACCTTATATAAGGGACCGGTCATAAAGTAATTACTAGAGCGGGGTGCAGGAAAAATGAAATTTCAGTACATATTTCCACACCCTACCAAAAACTTATGGAAAAATTTTCGTAACCCCCTTCAATGTAAGTGAAAATTTTCATACCCCCCCCCCCCCTCTTCTATCATTAATTCTGTTTCAACATTTGTCTTGCGTTTATCTATTTTTCGAAACTCTCCAGTTTGTGATAACTCTCCCACTTCTTGTAGTGGTAACCATATCCTCAACATTTTCCGCAGTCTCCGATTCGTCACCAGTCTTCTCTGATTCTGACATACTACTAGCGTTGGACTGAGAGTAAGATCAAACAGAAATTGTTTTTGGTTTATTTCAAATAGAAAATTTGCTTCCATTCATGTAACCTGAAGTTCAGGCCCTAATTTTAAATAGGGCCTGACACAAAACCTGTCAAGACCGTGGGACGCCCACATGTTATTTTTAGACACAGCATGCAATATGATTGACAAGTGTTGTAGATTTCGTTTATACACAAAAAAATTATATTCTCATGAACATGTCCGCAGAGTGTGCATTTTGCTTTTTAATTAAACTTAAAAATTCAAGGTCCTTTTATATAATCAAGAGTCAGTTTCTCTATTTAACCGAACAGCAAACAAAGATTTAATTAGTCAGTTCTGTGCACGGCTTGACTGCCAAGCTTTCTCAAGGCCGTCTCAACTTGTTGGACGCGGATATACTCTAACGGGCTAACAAACAGCAGCAATGAAATTCTCAATCGTACCACGAAGAAGGCGATGTAGCTCAGAAAACGACGCCGGTAGGACCTGATATTAAAAATAAGACTTTTGCCGGCGAAGCCAGTTGGCAGAACATCTTGGCTGTCAACAACAAGCTTTCGAATAATGACTAGCTTGGCTGTTCTTTCAGCGTCGTGTGTCAAAAATTCGTCAAAGAATTTGATAAAGCCCTTTCAAAATACTGTTTGTTTGATATATTTTCTGCCAAAAAGCATAAAAGAAAAGAAATTCGAAGAAATCGATAATGGAAGTTCAGACAGGTTATGTGTCAGGCCCTGTTCTGTGATTAGGGCCTGAACTTCAGGTTACCATTCATGTGAGACTTCCTCATCAGGTTCATCAAGTTCTAATGCTGCTGTGAGCTTGCTCGCAATGACAATTCAGGTGTATCATATTTTTACTCCAAAAGTTCAACGGACACCGAATCCTATTTATCATCTGACATTGAGTCAGACTGAAACATATATTTTGTGTTGATTTAATAATTATAGTAAAGCAATTCTTTGCAAACTTAAATCTGGGCACAAATACATTCAATATTCAACAATCGTATAAAATGTTTTTTTTCCATACCTATAGTACTAGGATTTTGGTACACCCCTATAGGTTCTGTTGTTTTTTTCGTACCCCCCTCAGAGGTTCTCTTTTTTTTCGTACCCCCCAAAAATATCCTCCACACCCCTAGTAAATACTTTATGACCGGTCCCTAAGTGAGATTTACAATTCATTAATAAAGTTTCCATTAAATGAATAAGTTTAATACAATAAGTTTAGTTTTTAAAATTTGCCGTCAAAATCGTTTGCAATTTGCGAACTTGCTTGGGAACTTGGTTCTGAATTTCATTACGAATTTCGATAATTTGATGCGAAACTTCCGAATTTGATTGGCCGGTTTCCAATCAACTTGATGATCTCGTTTTTATAGTTCCCAAATTCCCAAACAACCTCGCAATTGGCGTGGCCAAGGTTTCGTGAAATCAACTGTAAGGCTTTAAATTCATTAGTGTCACACGTGATCCAATCTTCGCAATGTTTTGTTTATTTCAAGAATGAAACCATCGCCTCCAAAATATTTCAGAAAGCCTTTTAAATGCTGGGCTATAAATTTGGCTAAACATTGCATTAAAATTTCAGGCAAAAAAGTCTAAAGTATTACGATTTCCAGCAACGAAAGGTGGTCAGACGTTGGCAACTTAATTCGCCCTTCTAATATTTCAGGAAGTGTCCACCACTGTCTAATGTCTTCTGGCTGAACACCATATGCTGTAGAGCATATGGTGATTGGCTAAGTAGAGCATATGGTGATTGGCTAAGTGAAACTCGACTATTTGGGAAAAGTTGAATTATCATCACTGACCATTGGACATTGTTCTTACCTGGACAAGGTTTTATTTCACATTTTCGAATTTCTTGAGCCGGCCCCTGTTTGCTACAATTTCCTCCATATTTTCCTGGAGGGTTATCGCACTGTCGTGTCCTTATTTCTACACCTTGACCACACGTGGCACTACATGGTGACGTTGTCCAGTTACTGTAGATCCCATCGACTATAAAAAATAAAAATGCGGAATAAGGCAATGTGTCTCTGCGTGGCACTTCAGTATTTCCGTTCTGCTAAGAAGAGATGTAAGGTTTTTTTAATAGTAAAAGCCACATCCTGGGCCAACTTGAAACTCAAGGTATGACCGCCGTATTTTGGTTCTGGATTATTACAAAAACGTCGCCATATTTCTACTCCATCATCACATGAAACATTACATGGCTTACTCAATGTCCAGTTGCTGTAACCACCGTTAACTAAAGATAATGACAAAAAATACCGAGGGAAATTAAAGATCTCCTGGTACTGAGAATTTTTTACTAAAAAAGAATCGACTTCAGGGCCTTCTTTAAGGATTTTTCCATGGGGGGGGGGTGCAGTTTTTGAAAAGGGACCTTTCTGTGAGATAATATATTAGAGTGGATAGCAATGGCCGATGGTCACATGTGTGACCGACATACCACGCATGAATAGGGGATCTTGGGGCATACTTCACCAGAAAATATTTGAAATCTAAAGGCCGGAAATGCCATTTCCTGCATTCTAAGCATCCAAATTTGCTCTAAAATTTATGCTAACTATACTTGTATTTGAAATAAAAGAAGGAAAAAAACGCACAAAGAGTAAAAGAAAATATTAACCATAATGTATCATTACTTATTAGAGGAGGGATAGCAATGGCCGAAGGCCACGTGTGTCGGACAATACACCCGCAGAAAATGTTTGAAATTTGAAGCCCGGAAATGCCATTTCCCGCATTCTGAGCATCCAAATTTGCCCTAAAATTTATGCTAACTAGACTTGTATTTGAAATAAAAGAAGGAAAAAACGCACAACAAAATTAAAAAATTATTAACAATAATTTATCAGTGCTTAGCGGTAGAAAAACGTAACAATTTAAATCGGGACAAAGGATAAAGTCTAAACTTACTTTCCGTTTATCTATTTGTTATTCTTTGCTGGTTTGTTTGTATAAATTTAGGAAAAAGGGACTTTTCCTGGGGGGAATGTGATTTCGTGGAGGCACAAGGAGGCACTGGGGGCATTTACCCCCCCCCCCAGCTTGTATGCTAAAAAAACGCCCTGATCGACTTACCAGGGCAAGCCTTTGCTGAACATGGTCTGTACTCAACAGGTTCTCCTAGATGACTACAGTTTTTCCCACCATACTTTGGCTTAGGGTTGTTACATTCTCGCGTCCATGTTTCAAAACCCTCACCACAAGTTTCATTGCACGTACTGTTTAATGACCAGTTGCCATAACTACCATCAACTTGCAAAGAAGAAAAACATTGAGCTTTTGTTAATGCACTTAAAATTTTTCTATATAAAGTCAAAATGATTAACACTATTTGGTTTAACTTGAATTTCCTAAAAGTAATTCATAGTTTACTAAAGTATTTTAATTCTCTTGAGTCTTGACCCTCGAAATAATATTTATACCTTTCACTTTCAAAACTTTGGTCAAATTTGTTATGGTTCTAATATAACTATATTAAAAATGCCTTGTAACTAGACATTTATAAATTTAATTCTGTCTTTGCAATTCTACTGCATGAGCCTGACAAATGGTGTCAAGTAACGAAGTAAGTGTACTTTGTTACTGTACTTGAGTACAGTGGTGGATCCAGCAAAGTTTTTTTTTGGGGGGTGGGGGGGGGGGAGTGCTAACAAATGGCGAAACGAGCGCCGAAGGCGCGAGATTTCTAGGGTGGTCCGGATGCATGCTCCCCAGGAAAATTTTTAAAATTTGGGGGTCTCTGAAATGGCATTTCCAGCATTCTGAGAAAACATTCTGGAAAATTTTTAGATTCTCAAAACATTTAAAAATTCAGAACATTTAATATTGGCTATTCCGCTATTGTCAACTAGTGATACGCAAATGAATCCTTTAACATAAGTTGGTTAGAATTTGGATAAACGTCATTTTTGCACCCCCCTCCCCCATGCACCTCTGTTGACCAGAGCCTGGAGGTACAGTACTTTACTTTTACTTTGTACTTCAAGTGTTGTTTAAGGATACTTTGTACTTTTTACTTAGAGGTGATCTACAGTCCGATCTGCGCATGTGCACAAATGAGCCCACTTTTTACGATACAAAGAGTTTAACTATGTTTTGGGTTCTTGAAAAGCCTGATTGTTGTTTCTTGATCATTTATTATACTCTAGAAGCTTGAAAATATAAATAGTTGTCGAATAAAGCTCAATATTTGGGACACAAAAATGTAAACAAAGGCTTTGTTTACATACGGACTGCAGATCACCTTTAAGTACGTTTTGCCTCCGGTACTTTTTACTCTTACTCAAGTCGTTTTATTGTTAATTACTTTTACTTTTACTCGAGTACGAAAGCACCGCTGTGCCTGACACAAGTTAATCCTGCATGGCCCAGGGTCTTGTTTACCTTTAAACAGGTCTAACTGAGAGGCCGCAACTGAAACGTAAACTAGGGCGCCTCTGCCCGGCACCAGAGGACTCATGTTTAACTGCAGGGCACATTTAACTGTTTAAATGTTTTGCAGGTAATTCAAACCCGAACTGTGGTAGTTTATTTTATAACCATACATGGTAATATAAACATTAAGGGATATGACCGTAACGATATTATTCTATACCTGGTATACATTTAGGGATATCACAGTACTCCCATCTCTTGTTCCTATCTGTAGTAAAACACCAAGGTCGTTGTCCAGAGTTCTGAGGATTTCGACAATAATTCTTAGCTTTATTCAATTCTGGATATGTTTTGTTCATGGTATGACGATGTGGACATTGTTCTGTCCATGATTGACACGAAATACCCGAGGCTGTCATAGATATGTTGCCATGGTAACTGCTGCCGTTTAAGTAAAGACAGTCTATGTGTGAAAATGGTTATTAGTTTGGATTCATTGTCATTCAATGTTGTGATACAATTTTGTCACGAATATTGTTATACATCTTACGTATTGTTATGCATTAATATCAAACTTTATTTGGATAGCTCTATCAGTTCTAAACTGCATGTCGTCAGCCACTTAGCATAGTTGCCAAAGTCATTTTTAAAAATTTTTTAAGTTTTGAGAAAAACAGAAAAAACTGATTTTTATGCTCGTCACATTGTCAAATGTTGTTTTTCGCTTAATGTTTTGCAGCATATGCAACAACTGATTAAATCACATGGAGAATCTTCAACCCGGACTGAATTTCAACCTGTTTAGCGGAGCTTAAATTGTGTCACGATCACATGGCAAGTTTCAACCCGAGCTGAGTTTAAATTTCAGTCCAAACCGATGAGAAATCTCAGTCCGAGCTGAAACGATCAAAGTCTCAAAATGGAGCTATTCCATTTCTTCGAAGAATTTAAAATATTGTTCATATCTATTATTTGAGACTGTGGTTGCATTTAAAAATAGAGCAGACAGAAATAAAGCCACCCATTACATTTTTTCAACCCGGGCTGAAATTACCCGTCGATTAGGCCAAGTAAAAAAATAACTTGGTTAGCATCCTTTTCTCCTATTTTCTAGGGTAGAGGGAAGGGGTTTTTAAAAAATTTTTTAAATGCACCTATATAAAATCAGCCTCGTTCCCAGGGATATAAAATATGAGCATATTTAATATATCGAAGATTTCTAGCAATCAATAGTTGGCTATCACTGGGGTGTATATCACACCCAGCACTAGTTAATTGGATGCTGACAAATGTAACCCCGCTGTGAATGTTGGTTTATTTATAATAAAGGTGGAAAATTCTTTACGAATAGAAGATTTCTAAGGTACAGTAAAAAATTTCTCTCCAGGTCAAGATTGAACACAGTTCAGGAAATCGAGATGCAGTGTTTGGTTAAACGTACTATAACCTTTCTTCTCTCATGCGAGTCGAAAATCGGACAGTTGCATATAATTGCAGAAATAGAAACTTGGGCGCAAAGGTGAAATCCACACTAAGCCGCTAGCTAATAAGGCAAATTAATTAGGCTTAATATAATTATATTTGGGGTCCTGCCCAGGTTGCTTACCAGCGTTTGTAGTCAATTCTGGGGGTGGAAATGTATCTATAAAAAAGCAAAAACGAGTTACAACAAACATATGCACAGGGTGGATTTACTGGGAGGGTTGAGTGCAGGGGGTGCGCCTCCGGGGTGCGCCTCCAGGGTGTGCCAAGTTCCGCAACAAATCCATGTTTTTCAAAAAAATCCATTATATAAATCCATTAAATCCATATAAATAGAGACAAAATGACATACCTTATTCGTACTTAATTTCTCGCGTACTTAATTTCGCGATTTTTTCCTGGCAATATTTCGATAGCGAAAATAGAAAAAAGGTAATAAATTTCCGATAAGAATAATCTCGAAATACAGGAGAGAAACACCTACAAACAGTGGCGTCCTGGCTACAATTTCGTCAGTGGAGGCCACCTCGGAATTTTCCCCCAACGTTATATATTTCCCAAAATGTGTGTCGGCGGAAGGAGGGCGAATGGGTTTGGGGGGAAGGTGAAATTTGCGAAATCATCTTCAAGACAATTTAATACGCGCTGCTCTTTCCTATACTCACGCATTTTGCTCAATTTTAAGAAAAAATTGACAATTTTGGTTGCATTAATTTCATGCAGTTTGGTTGCATGCCCCCTAAAAACCCTCACAGGGGAGGCATGGTTCACTGTCCCCGCCCTTGCCAGCACGCCACTACCTACATATCAATTTTAAGCTTTTGTCAAATGAGGAAAGAGTTCACCAGAGATGATGAAATGTGCAACTCTCGATCGCGTTTGACCGGCAACTGTCATCAACTTTCATGCACTCACATCAACTCTTATCAAATTTCAGCAGATCCAAACTTTGATGGGAGTTGATGGGAGTTGACAGGAGTTTTTGCTCGTTTGAACAGTTATATTTTGGCCGGCAACACTTATTAATTTTCATGCAACTCTTGTCTGCAATCAGTTGACCGAAGCGTTAAAGTTGAGAAAACTCTTATGTAAGCGCTTCCTTGCCCGTTCTCTCTGTATAGCTTTTATTCTCGTTCGACCTTTATTCGTGTTTATGCACATCAAGGCAGAACAGCGTTGTAGCTCATCTAAAGTCATGACGATAAATTCCGGCCACAAATTGGTTAACTAAGTGTGTGTATATTGTCCATGCTGAAATGTACTGATATTTAATGAGGCGAACTACAAAATTCGTGTTTATACGGCTATTTCAGCTAATTAAATTAAGGTTGTCCCCGAGCACCCGAGCAAAGAAGAAAAGTCGAATACGGGCGCGAAAGATTTGCTGGGAATCGCTAAAAATTTAATGAAATTTTTGCGATTCCCAGCAGCCTTTCGCGCTCGTCTTCGTCTTTTCCGCTTTGCTTGGGGGCAACCTTAATTAGCCTTTCTGATCACGATGACGAATATCCGCCATTTTTGGGTGGCATCTAATTCTCGTTAACCAATGTAGACAATTAAAACAATGTGAAAAAAAATTTTTCAAAATAAACTAACCATTAACAAAGCAAATTTACCATCATTTGTCCGAAAAATTATAAAAAGTCCCTGGACTTATCTCGAAGACTTCGGCTGAAAAGCCACCTAAAAATGGCGGCGTGAGAAAGGCTAATTGAAATAGCTGTATATAGTATGCACTTTCCGCTTTAACTAACAATGTGTCTCCGAATCTTCCACGCTCTGCTTTAATATATTACCTGTAGAGTTTGCGAGTCCATTGAGATACCAGCATTCTGGTGAATCACCAGCATTCCTATACGGTTGTAGTTCACATTGGTAGAGCTTCTTTGAGTCCGGATACTGAATTGTATAATACTTTACAAACATTTCCCACAGTTTACCACAAGTACGAGTCAATACAAGACATGACTCGCGACATATCTTTTGTTCTTTAAACACGCTTTGAGTTCGATCACAACTCGGAAAATATTGACGACAAAACCATTTGGCGGCAGCTTGTGCGCATTTTCTAACATTGCTGATGTCTACTTGTGAAAAGCGGCTTATTCGTGATACGCCGATCTTCACTATTTCGTCGAAATCCTTGTTGCCTTCATCGTTTCTATTATTCTGACGGTAAGGCGTATCATATACGTAGTTGGGTAAAGTGATTCCATGATTTTGACAAAAAGGACGGGTAAAGTTTACCAAAGGATAGCACGAACTCGAGTTTAGTGGTGGTTCAGCTTCGGCAGGAATGCATGTCCTATACAAATTAAGATTGAGCAATCACGATATACTAATAGTTTTACACCTACATCTGTGAAACCTTTCTTGTCTGGCAATGGCTGAATACAATAATTAAGAACCACACTTAAACCATTAAGTCGCAATCTTCACTAATGAAAGAATTAAAAATTTCTTCTTTCTGTGAATTTTATAAGGGGTCCAATTCCGTGGAAGGGGGTACATATCAGATAGCGGATATGTACCGTAGGGGCCCGAATCCGGTAACGGGTATAGGACGAGGGGTCTGTATTCACGGGGAGTCCAAGTCCGTTGTGACAGTGGGTCTGTCAGAAAAGTGATTCAGGCTATATATTAATACATTTGATTCTAAATAGACTGTGTGTTACCAGCGAGTCCAGCGAGATTGCGCGGGAATTATGCGTCTTCATCGTTTTCCACCATTGCATCTTAAGTAAATTTCACTGGCATGCAATTTTACAGTAATTTCGAAGAAAACATTGTACCTGTTTCTGTCTTGAAGATAGTGTTTACCTGTTAATGTAAGCAAAACATTAAATTAATTTAGTAGAAGCGTGGGTTGTGTGTGAGATTTTCCCCCCACGCTTCTAACGGAAAGAGCTAGAGAATAAATCGCGCGAGTTTATCATGATGTGCGCTGCAGCACATTCGTAAGGTGATGCCTTTTAGCAACGATTGGCGAAAATAGTACATTGCATCGTTGTTTCATTGTTACATTACATCCAATTGTTACATTACATTACAATTGGACCTATGCGAAAAATTCGTGATTTTGTTGAAACGAGAAACTCTGTCTTCTATTTATAATGCTTTACTACGTTCTCATTTTGACTATTGTAGTGAGGTATGGGATACCCTTGGTTTGGAGCTCTCCAGCAGACTTCAAAAACTGCATAATCGAGCTGCAAGAATAATAATGAATTTGAGGTACAACACTCCTGGTATAGAAGCGATAAACGCTCTAGGGTGGGAGTCTCTTGAAACTCGACGAGCCAATTCTAAAGTTAAACAAATTACAAAGTTCTAAATGATTTGGCTCCAAGTCCGCTCGCTACTCTTTTCGTACACAAAAGAAACATAATAGAATATATTCTTAGGGTTTCCTCTATTTATTACAACTACCTCTACTAACAACTGAAAACCTTAAGAAAAGCTTCTGTTATGATCGAGCTAAACTGTAGTCTGCGTGTCAGGCTCTATGCTAGAAATAGAGCCTTCTACTGAAGTCATTAAAAGTGGATTTATGCCTACGAATTGTACGCAAAATTCCCATTGGTCAGAAATAAATAGCCTTGCCTTAACAGGTAATATAAAGTTGTTGTTTACATAATATGATATTCCGTACTTGTAATTGTAGTATACTTATGGCTGCATTAATCACTGTCTTTGCGGTTTATAAACACGGTCAATAACCGTTATTATTATTTAGTATGTAATTCCTGGCCGTTTAATGAAAATTGGAACATTTATTTTCGAGATATTGACGGAAAACTTGGCCGTTATTGTCACATTTTACATTAGTTTTTGTAATCTATTTAACAATCGCCGTTATGATTGGTTGTTATTTTCGTGCATCCAAATGTCAAATGACTGTCCACGTTTTATTAACTTCAGTAGCAGGCTCTATTTCAAGCATAGACCAGCCTCGTACCCAGGTGCAAATAACGTACTAAAAATAGCAACACTACAGTGTTTTTATTCAGATCAGTGGCTAAGATGAGCGAGCGCGCGGGAGTGCTAGGTCATGACACGACGGGATTCTGCAGCGCCTGGCAGAAAATGTAAATATGACTCTTCAGAAATACGATATCTAAAGAGTCGAACCATTCAGCTTTTTACTCGTGCCTTTTCAATTATTTTTGGCGTTTTTGGTGCTCAATATTATATTTATATGTGCTTATGGACGACCTGGAACAATCGCTGAAGGAATTATCAAGAAATGAGTGTTAGAGGTGAGTGTTTGTATTGGTTTGCCTTGAGATTTCATTACTCTCTGTATAATTATGTGTGCATCATTGTATAAATCTTGGTGAAGATGACTACAAGCAATAGGTTTCATATTTTAAAAGAATTTGTAAGCTCCCCACGAAAGGAGAAAGAATAATTTCAACCAGGGAAGCACCTTTAATAATTTAACACCACTTAATAGGCTAGGCTGTTAATTTGTGCCACTGCACCCAGCTTGTTGAGAAGTTCAGCTGTGGATGAGTGCATGGGTCTATATAAAATAAAAACCCAAAAGAGTATTAAACTTGCATAAATATTGCTATAGCTCTAGATTCCTTTGAATGTAAATACTAGTAGTTTATGTTATGAGCAAAATAAATAAATGACAAAATAAAGACTTTAAATGTTACAGGGGTTGTTGTTTGTATAGCATGTTGATGAGGTATATCTCATTCAGTCAAGTTATGTAAAACATATGCCCTTTCTAACTTAGCTGAACCAATGACCACAAACAGGATTTAGGAGCAAGCACAGAAACGGCTTGGATAGGTCTTGTTGTGTTTACATTACAAACCTACACTTGTCCAAGCACTTTACTGGGACCTACCCTGAGTGACCTGAAATTATTTCAGGTGAAGAATTTGGGGTGGCTCACCCTGTAGTATACACATGTTTGGATTGTTTAATCCCGAGACCAATTTCCATGACAACAGGGTAAATCATGTGTGTTAAGTGTGTATATGGTAAAATGTGTATATGTATTTTTGTGTGTGTATATGTATTTTTGTGTGTGTATATGTAATGTGTATATGTTTAATGTTGACACATATTTTCAGTGAGACCATCAGATAATGTTCGCCACATATTTTTCAAATATCATTGATTATTAATTAACATGCATCTGAAATCATCCCAACAAATTGCAATATGCAACCATACCTTTAAATTGTCCAGTTTGTTAGACACTGTCGTGTAACTAGGTGTCAAATGCATTATATGTGGCCACAGGTAAGTCCAAGTATACTCCATTCCTTAGTGTAAACATGGTAGATTTTGGCAATCAAGGGCAATAGCCTTTATAGGTCAAATGCAAGGTGCAGCACAAAATACACATCAATGTATAAAACACTGGGTTGGTTTGTGCTTTAGCCTTTAAACTTACTGTCATTTTACTAACAAAAACAGTTTGAAATTGGTATATTATGCTTTAGTCTATCCATACCTCACGTACGGAAATCTAGTTTGGGGAAATACGTACCCAACCAGGCTTCAAAAGTTACTGAATGTGCAAAAGAAAATTGTTCGACTAATTAGTTTTAAATCCGATATGGAACATTCAAAACCACTATTTTTGGATTTGAAAATCTTGAACATCTACCAAATCAATGATTATTTATGTAGTTTATTCATGTATCGTCGCTACTATTGTCAAAATTTGCCGGACTTTTATAATGATTACTTCAAACAAAATAACGATGTACACAACTATAATACGCGAAATTCTACCAAGTTACATGTGAGTTATAAAAGAACAAACTACCGTATATACACTGTATTTAACAAAGGAATTTCTTTATGGAATTTTCTTGATGACGAAATTAAAAATACTAAAACTTATTTTTCTTTTTAGAGAAAAGTAAAATCCCTTTACTTATTATCTAATTAATGTAAATAAATTATAAAAACCTTAGGAACACTGATGATAGTAATGTACTATTTTATTTCTTAGTATTTTTTCATCTTTCAATTTGTTGTAAATAGTTTCTGCTTGTATGTAATTTCTTCTTTCATAGTCTTTTATCACTAGAATACTAAAACTAGGGGCCTTACTATAAAAGTCCAACAGGATTTCCAAAGGTCCCTAGCCCATTATACTACTGTAATTATTTTTTTACTACTTGTATATATTTTGTGGGCAAAAAGTTAACAATTAACAATGTGCATCCAATACCAGACATATATTTTCAACCATTTGAAATAAATCGTTATTTTTTTTAGAATGTTCAATGATCTTGAGTTCTCTCATGACCAGCAGAATTTCTAATTTCGAAAGGCTGGTCTCCTGAGGAGACCTTTAATTAAAATACCGTTTTCGAAAAATCCTTATTATCAACGCAGTGATCATTTGGACATAAAATCTTTCCCAAAAGTACCGCTCGTTAGGCAAGCCTTTCAATTTCATTTAGTATAGTACAGCAATTTCCTTCTTTGCATTCTCATGTCCGCCATGTTTGTTACAAATTCTGCCAGGCGCTTCGTTTCCCGCGTCCTCCCCAAGTACCCCGCTCGCTCATCTTGGCCACTGATCTATATAAAAACACTGTAGTGTTGCTATTTTTAGTACGTTATTTGCGCCTGGGTACGAGGCTGAGCATAGAGCCTGACAAGCAGGCTAGCTAAACTGTGGAACTCATTACCTTCAGATATGCGTGATTCAGGTACATTATCAACATTCATAAATGCAATTGACGCTTAGAATTTCTAATATAATGTTATTAATTTTGTACATAATTGTTTAAAGTGGAAGTCAAGTCCGTTCTGCGCATCGGTTCTGCTCATAACAATGTGAGGACCTCTAATGTGAAAATTGCCCAAATTTCGAATGTTTAGAATTCTTCTGAACATAAACTCTATTTCATACTCATTTAGAAGCATAGCGAACCAAAATAGTGTTAGATATTCAGACAGTATATCATATTTTAAAAAATACAGCAGTTCAAAATGTAAACAAACCGTTTGTTTACATTACGGACTTGACTTCCACTTTAAATTGTAGTTATTTGTAGTTTAGTGTGTGTAATGTATATAATATCATGTAATCCCCACCTTACCTTACCTAACCTTACCTTACCTTACCTTACCTTACCTTACCTTACCTTACCTTACCTTACCTTACCTTACCTTACCTTACCTTACCTTACCTTACCTTACCTTACCTTACCTTACCTTACCTAACTTTTTAAAGCTACCAGCCAATGAAAATCGGAAAAAAAACTCCAAAAACCTGCCGTCTATGAAAATACAGTTTAAGTATGAAAATACTTAAATACTTGAGGTTAAGATAAGGATTGATTTTGCAGGTTGGTCGAATTTGAGAGGGATCCAATTTGAAATAATCGTTGTCCCAGCTTGAAATATAGCCGTTGTATACACGACAAGATTTGCCGTGGTAAACAGAACGAGGACGATTCACGACATGCAGTCACGACATCTAATACTTTTATGAGATTTTAATTCATCATTTTTTTTCTACAAGATTATGATTGTCATTTTTCTACTTGCCTTCGTCGATGCATTTGATCCTTCGTGCTCAAGGTTCCTAATACCGATATAGTTTATAGATTTTGAAGTGTAAAATTTAAATTAAGGCAGTTTCTTTTCACGTCCCCGTATAGACCGTATACTAGATTATTTAATTAGCCTTGCTTAAAAATTCGCTAATTTAACGCGAGACGCGAGGTGATTGAAAAAGAAAAACATGGACGCCATGGAAGCAACTTAATAAACTGATTATATATATATTTACTTCTCTTAAATAACTTGCTATTTTATATTAGGAGAAATTGCTCTTGTGAACAATTCATTGACAAAATAAGATCTGAAGTCTCAAATAACCCACTTGACTGACTTGAGGACATTTTAAAGAGTCATTGTCAACCACAATGTCAATGCATTTGTTTACATCTTACCTTCGGAAGTGAAAAATATAGCAAAAAATGACAATTATAAACATTTCTTTGGTGCAATTTTAGTATAAAAAAGTTAAAATGAGCAAGTATAACAATAGAGTGGTAGTAATATATTATGGATTGAAAACCGAAACATCTATTAAGCAGGTTTGGGCGCACCATGCATTGTGGTTGACAATGACTCTTTAAACTTGAATGAATACTTTTAAGTATTTAAGTATTTAAAAATATTGAAACTGGTCATAATTATAATTGACAAACAGGTATGCTACTATGCTAACCTAGAATTTCCACAAACACTGAACGTTGTAAAAACTATACTGATTACTGTATAACAGATAGGTAATATTATTAATTAGGTTTATTATGTATTGTTAATTAGCTCGTAGTTTTATAACATAATTATTAAACATAACTAAACTGTACGGTAACAATATTCAATTTTCGTAAACTTGATCGTTTATGTAACAACAACGCTAGTCCGTGCGATAATACTCATGCGCATGTACTTTTTTAATCTGTATAATGGTATGGCGGAAAGCGTGAAAAGTTTGCTGAGTTCAGTACCGATCGCGAGGTTATCGAGGAGAGTATCGTTGAAAGCACACCATTCAAATTGAAATTAAAACATTATTTTCATGCACTCTTTATTCGTGTGTTATCGGGTTTTACAAGCACTCGTTTACGAACAAGAAAGTATTAAATATAAGAAACTCGAAATTTACATTTTTGTTTCTTGTTCACGTGAACTCGCGCATGTAAATAAAAAAAACACACTCCTAGAGTGCTGCAATCCTCAAGTACCGTGTAATTCAGTTTAATATTATACGGAAAGACGCATTCAAACGCACCCATGCAACATTGTCTGTCCAATATCATCCAACAATTCTACTATTCCTTTCACAATTATTTGAAAGCACAGATTTTCATTTACATAAATGGTATGATTTTATCAAAACAAATTGAACAATTAACTGAGTTATAACCAAATATTATTTGAACTACGAGTTGCCGGGTGAATGACTGGAGCAATGATTTTAATTGAACCGGCTATAACGGCGTAACGTGACTAGTTCCTTTTTCCTACCTATACCGGAGAGCATCAGCATAAAACAACCTGTCAAATGATGTTGTATATGTCCAGTAGACAAATTAAAGCAACACTTCATACATCATACTTCATGCAACCTTATAATAATTAGTAATTACTCTTATAATTTCGACAATTTCAAGATATTTTGCTCGTGTGAATCTATGACAAATTTATTGTGACAAATGCATTTGAACAAAAGCTATAGCATGCTAGCTTTTGATCAAATGCATTTGGTCAAATGGAATTTGTCAAATAAAATTGGCTCGTGTAAACGGGGCTTTCAGGGGGTAAATAGTAATCAGTCGCCCGGTGAGGGAAATTTATATACATTTATATATTAGACATTTAAAGTTATCGACATACAGTCCTCCTGGTTGTTCCGGCTAATTATAGTCAGTCCGGAACTTCTTTGTGTCATGTTAGTCGTTTCCAAATATGTGTATATGTATATAAGTATATACAAAAGTATAATGTACTATATTGTTGAGTAAAGACAAATAGTAGCTACATTGTGTTATTGTAAGGGGTTAGGTTTCGATCAAGTGGGACGAAAGTCCTGTTCCGTTCTCCTGTCACATATAACTTGTTTTGTCATGTATGTATGCGTCGTCTTCGTCAATGTAATTTTTTCTTGTATAGTGACAAATTCAATAAATAAATAAATAAATAGACCTGACCAGGAACAACTGCGAAAAATGCAATCATATATATATATATATATATATATATATATATATATATATATATATATATATATATATATATATATATTATATATATATATATATGTTTGAGTTTTTGGTTTACGAAACACAAACAGTGCTCAATACCATATAGATAGAGCGTAATATAGTTTTTCGTTTTACCCCTAGAAAACCACAGCAGTATAGGTGAAACAGACTGTTGTGGTTTTTTTACAGATGAAACAAACTGTTGTGGTTTTTTGAGGTAAAACGAAAAACTATATATATAGTATATATTATGTAATTTCCATCTTCAAGACCCTTAACTAGATATTTAAGCATTTCAGACTCTTCATTTATTAATTTTACAATAACAATTGCATGAAGGCTCAGACAACAGAAAAAATCAATATAGCTTAAATTAAGTCCTGCCTGACATGCTATGCAGATATGTGCAGTTATACGTCGTATAGAAATCGATCCAAGCGTAGAAATACGATGCTAGAAATATAAGGTGACCAATTTAAGTTACTGGGACTAGACTTGCATTAGTCGTGCAATAATTGTAGCAAACATACGCCTCTTGGAAAACGGCATTTAGTACTAAAACGCAATAATATGAAATTTAATGTAATAATATGAAATTTTTTATGTTAACATTGTTGGGTTCGTTTAATTTAAATGGACCTTAAAATTAATCATCATTGTACATTTTATAGTTTTATAATCCTGGCACAATCAAATGCGCAGCTGCAACAATGAATTGAGATGTAAAACTACCACTAGACTTTACCTGCAACATTTGTGCTGAAAATCGTTGCTAAAATCACTACAGTACCACAACAATTAGCGAAACTAACGACCCCCATCATGAATTCTGCAGGCAACCTGATTAAACCGTTGGCCAGCTTTTGCCCAGCTCAGAATTTTGAAAGCCTTTTTGGTGTCAAGATATGCTTGTAACTGAATTAAGTTTCACATGACTTAAGAATTTTTTACCGCAATACTTCCGCGTAAAAACATGAAAGGACTTTCTTGACTAAATTTGGTGAAGACACTTATGTAACGACAATATACACATCGTTCGAGTGATATTTGTTGAGATAACGGAATTCAAAGAACGATAGACTTCCTTTACTGCATGTGAACAGTGAACTTCATTGTATAAAAAATTTGTTATTTCATCCTGAAAAGTGGTTCCCTGCTTGGGGAATTAGGATGCATGTAAAAAGTCGAATCATTAGACAAATTTGGCTAACGTTTGTTTATACGAAACGTTATTGTAATATTTAACTCAATTCAGCCTTTGGCTGCGATGTTTTATATAATAATAAACTATCTATCTATCTATCTATCCCTAATTGAGAACGTTAGATAATTCATATGCCTAGTTATTATACTATTGTTCCAGTTCACAGAAGCATATAATGGCACAAAAATTAATGCACAGTTACTGTATATAACTAAGCTTTAGAAATATCTACACGAGTGAATAATTCTTATACATAATTCTAGTGTTTAGTTACCTTTGTCTTATTCTATATGCTTCCGAAAACTAGAACAATTAATTGTTACAGTATAGCCATGCAGGCATAAGTTATCTAGCTAAAGTTGCGAGTTGGGTAGCAACGGTGTAAACAATGTTAACCAAATTTGTTACGGTTCCATTTTTTTCCACGGAAGTTTTAAACCGGTCCTTTGTGAACGGAACCAAAACAATTATCACTTTCGACATAGATAGCCATTTTAGGAATTATGTCGACCATGCCCATGCAATACATAGTATTATTATTTATTGAAAGTAATTCAAGAGTTTTGATTGGTTAAGAGCTGTGGATGAAATCGTCATTTCCATTCGGTAGTTGCCCAAATTTGGAGTTATGACATCACCATTGAATATTGAAAACACATATACGACATTATGACGTAATTTGGTCGTATATTGCAAACACATATACGACATTATGACGTAATTTGGTCGTATATTGAAAACACATATGCGACATTATGACGTCTCACTAATTTATGCTGCTTATATGCCAAAAGCGGGAAAATACAAATGGCTTCCTCAAAGGAAAGGTTCGCCGACCTTGGGGAAGCTGAAATCAAAAAATTGCTGGAAGAAAAAGACTCAGTAAACACAAAAAAAGCTACAAAAGCAAGCAAAGCGATTTTTGAAGAGTATCTATGAGAAAAGAAACTTGGCCATCCAGAGAATAGCGAAGAACTTGCTTCGGTTCTCAAAAGCTTTTATGCTGATCGAAGTGAGGAAAAAAAGATGAGTCAGAATACACAAAAAATTCGCTGTATGATAATTTTTACAACTGTCAAATTCACTTTCACGAGTAAAATGTTTGTAAATGTTAAAGGTAATATTTAAATTCGTGTTAGAACGGTTGAAGAACACTTGTTTTCTCGATCATTTGTGTTTTTATACAAATATTCCGTATATTTTCTCGATAATTTGTATTTTTATATAAATATTCTGTATATTTTCTCGATAATTTGTATTTTTATATAAATATTCCGTATACTTGAAGTGTAAATGGGGTCGGTAAAATCTGTAGCATTCTTTCAAACGCTTATATTCAGTTGAAATAAATTTGTTTGAATTAATTTGACGTTTGATTTTGTAATATGACAACAGTTTTAAAAATATTTTTTCCTAGTCTGATTGGCTTATTCAGTCTTGCGAACACTATATTATTGTTCCATTTTCAGTAGCTTGCGAGTTCTTGTTTACAGTGCAAGCGTTTACCCAAGTCCGATATATATACAAATAAATAATAAAACAATTATTGAATTCGGTTCTCGTAAGATATGAGGAATTATTAAGGCCTCGGTTTGTGTTATCTGCCTCAGCCTTCGGCTTCGGCAGATAACACAAACCTCTGCCTTAATAATTCCTCATATCCTACTCGACCTCATTCAATAATTGTTTAATATACACATAAAAAATTACTCGATTCTGTTTGGCCTATAGGACGAGTTCAATTAGTGCAAAAAAATAAAGATATAAGTTATAAATTACGACAGTCGAGAACGCTCGGATTATGAGCGAGTAAATTGATTTAACTGTGGTTTCATGAGTAATTTCTGCATAATTTTTTAATGTATACTACTTGTAGGTAATATAGACTAAAATGATTTCTTGCCAATTTGGAAAAACAAGCACTCGTGAGTTTTTTAAAAACTTCAAAATGCACTTGTCGTCGGACTTGCGCAATTTTGATCGTCTTTGAATCTAAAAACTCACCCGTGCATGTCGTTTTCTACAAATAAATTTCACTCATACAAATTTCATTTCGTACTAATACATCAATATATTACTATGTTGATACCAAATATCACAATTTATTATATAGTAGAGAGTGATATACTGAGAAATACCCAGTGACATATTTTCCATATCTTCACTGTGAAGATACCGATCACGTGACTATTAGTATTTAGACATTTTTTTGCTTGGGACTATATAATAAACAGAACAATACACGGTGGCTTGAAGATATGACTTTTATCTTCTCGTGTTAAAAATAATATTTTACTCACTCGCTGCGCTCGTTCGTAAAATATTGTTTTCACCACTCGAAGATAAAAAGTCATATCTTCGCGCCGCCGTATAATATCCTCTATATATCACACTAGCACATAGCTACAATATAACATACAGGATAACAAATGTATAATTTTCGTTGCATGTGTGTTAATATTTTTGGTCTAAATTATTCGTATAGGCCTAAATCAACATCGTGTCGGTCGGGTCAGTTGCTGTCTATAATTGTACATGCACATGATACCTCGCAATAATTGCGAGGTAATTATTAGATTCTTGCGTACTATCATACGAACAACTGACTCAACCGACAGATCGAGTAAAGAACGAAAAAAGAATGTATAAAGAATAGGTCAAAGTTGGGCGTTATGTATATATAGTTGAAGCTCCTTGGTATAGTTGTCATGATTATTCTTGTGTTATAAATTGTGGTATATTATGTTTAATAAGTAAAGCTTCGAAGAAGGCAAAAACATGTTGGAATTGTTGGATTTAGTTATATGCCGTAGGAGTATGATCTTCTTTAGTGAGAAGTGAGGGGTCGTTAAGTAGTTTAAGTTGAGTGAATTGGCCTTGTAAGCTTGCTAAGTACATTGTGCGTGTTCATAATTGTGAGAAATGTTGCATTATTTTAAACGCACCGATAAAGATCTAAGTCATACCAATATAAGTATTGCCGCAACCGGATGACGAAACCTCATAAACAAAAGTTACTACGCGATAAAAGCGGAAGTTTATTTGTTGGAATCAAAACACGGAATTCTCAGTAGTATATGAATTACAATAAATTTGATATTTATAATTTCGTCTCCAGGATTTCCAAGTTGAGGTAATCCGTAAACGAATAATAATAATCCATCTTGAAATTGAAGATATGAATCCACAGGGGGTCCAACTAAGAGCTGTGTTATGAATATGAATAAAACATTAATTAAACGTAATATGAATTAAACATCATAACGTAATATATTTAAAATATTGCACTTACTTGTATTTGCAGTGATAGCTTCAAACAGGGCGCTTATATATGCTCAGAAACATTGCTTCGAACGATTGTTCAAATATGGCGAATAAATTGACAAAACGAAAATATTACATGACGTTCCTACGAAAATAACAGCAAGGATTGCGGGCGCGCGAGCGAAAAGGCGAGGGAAGAAATAAATAGAATGGATGAAACAAATATCACGTGACTTTTTAAAATGCTTCTAGACTATCCGTTTAAGCTTTTTGTGGGGTTTTTAAGGCTCAATGGATGTTCTCTTACATGAACAAGCCTAGTCATTACAAAAAAAGCACTGATCAATCTAATTTATGTGATTTATAACAGCTGGCATTCTTGGCGGTTTTCGCGAGATGTGTTCCATAAGTAGCCTGTTCTCGTGACGTAATGACTAAATAATAATAAAACTAAATAATGTAAAAAAACCCGTTGGTCGCCACATTTAAATGTTTCATATCATCCGGTATAGTTAAACATTGTTTATTTTCATTAATTGAACGCGTATGCGTTGTTGTAGTTGGCAGGAAACTTTTTGGAATTTTCCGAGAGACCAGGCCACTTAATGGAACAGATCACACGATCGCATTACCGGTGTTTCATCCCTTCTATTAATATCTATTACCTCGCCTTTCGCTCACGCCCGCAATCCTTGCTGTTATTTTCGTAGGAACGTCATGTAATATTTTCGTTTGGCCAATTTATTCGCCATATTTGAACAATTATTCGAAGCAATGTTTCTGAGCATATATAAGCGCCCTGTTTGAAGCTATTCACTGCAAATACAAGCTCTTATGATTTGTACAAGTAAGTGCAATAATTTAAATATATTACGTTATGATGTTTTATTCATATTACGTTTAATTAATGTTTTATTCATATTCATAACACAGCTCTTAGTTGGACCCCCTGTGATGAATCAATGCAAAAGGGTAATGAACTAAAAATTTGAATTAATATGGGCCCGGTTTAGCCAATCACTGATCATTTGACGGAATTTTGTAAGTTTGATATCATAGCTATTACAGTCGAACCTCTATTAAGCGACCCTCCATTAAGCGGCCACCCTCTATTAAACGGCCACATATCGAAGTCCCGACATTTTGGTAATACAAATACTATAAACTATCCCTCTATTAAACGGCCACCTCTATTAAGCGGCCACGTTAATAGCGGTCCCAAATGTTGTTTTATGTCAATTTTTACCTTTATTAAGCGGCCAGCCTGCAGGATTTACTTGGCACAACACCTTGTCAAGAGAGCCGAAAATAAAAGTCGAGCTAGTTTGCTTTATTTGTAAAATAAAGATGTTAAAAAATATGTTTTAACACATGCCACCTTACACCTCAAAAGCTGTACACCTCAAAAGCATTGACTACGCCCAGGGTCTATTATTTGCGTACCTCTATTTAGCGGCCACCTCTATTAAGCGGCCACAAAGCCGATCCCCGAGGGTGGCCGCTTAATAGAGGTTCGACTGTATATCTATTAACTATGATTTTATAAAAACGTTATATGTGTAGATGATACGCTAATTGGTTTGACATTTCGGCCCTTTCAGCCAAGTTTTACAGTTCCGATTCTAAATCTAAAATTAACAGTTGACGATCGGGTGTGGTTTACTTTTTAGACATCAAAAATACATGCATTTTGTAGTTTTAAACCTTTCTCTCGGAAAACGTGTTAGACATTTCCTTATTATAATTAAAATCAAGCACAACAATCCCAAATTCAAGACAAGACACCATAGGAGTTTGGATTAGATTGTCTTATTTTGGGAACCGCGCGGTGACAAAATTCTAAAATCGTGCATGCCTTTCCATAACACAAAGATTTAATTTCTTCTAAACCAGTCAAATTCATTGTACTTTATGACACTAAGAGATTTTCGTATTTTGTTTCAAACAAAGATAAACTTTTCTTTCAATCTCGCAATAATTTTCTTTATAAACTTTCATGCCCAGGTTGTGGCAATACTTATATTGGTATGACTTCCGGTGACATGTGTGCTCCCGCTTTTGTTTTTTTTTTACTGTACACGTAAAGTATTGTACGTATTTAATTCTGTCTAATGATGACTCCGAAATAAGTTGAAAATTCACAGTTTCAAACTTTCGTCTTGTATTAATTCAAATATTGAACTTCAAAATGGCATTATTATTCCGAAGTTGTTTCTCTTATATAAAGTATGTTTTGCATGTTTGCATCCACCCTTCCGTTGTGGCACCTCCTACAATCACAGACATTCACTTTCTGACCTCATTCCATTGAATTGGCACGGATTCTTAAATATCGCATTATTTTACTAACACATGGAATAATATGAGCATTGGCAATGATTTACTGCCAACACCCATGCAACAACAACATAAGTGAAACCAAATCATCTGATCCTAATCATTTGTCATTTACAACAACACGATGCAAGATCTCCATCTACCAAAAATCCTATATTAAAAGCTCGATTAGATTATGGAATGCATTGCGAAATTTTTGATAGGCAACAAACCTAAGTTAATTAAGTCAATTCAAAAAGTAGACTTTTCAAGTACCATCAACTTCAAGAAATGGAAACCACGTATCGATGAACCAAGAACGATCTATGTGTTTGTCTTGTAACAAGTCTCGACTTTGAAACGAACGCTTTAATATGTTGTTCTATTCTAATTTATACAAAACCATATACCTGCATGAATTTTAAAATCGCAGTTTACATAATTCGAAATTTTGTAGTTATCTTTGTCTTTTCGTATATTAGTGATAACATTGTGAGTACTCATCTGAATGCGAAGCTTTCAATATTGGCCCAAAGCAAAGTGTAGAAACGTTCTCACGCCGAAATAGAACAGAGCTGCATGAGAATATTCAGTTCTTTGTAGCACTGCATATAGCTTTTGAATTTAATTAAACACACACAGACGCAGTTGATCTATTCTTGATGCTTGTGATGTTACTCTGAGTGTATATCCACACCGGGCAAGCTTGAAAAATATGCCTGGCCACGGTGGGAATCGAACCTACGACCTTTGGAATACTAGCCCAATGCTCTGCCAACTGCGCTACGCCGTCAGGTCGGTTCGAGTAGTATTCCAAAAGTCGTAGGTTCGATTCCCACCGTGGCCAGGCATATTTTTTAAGACTTGCCCGGTGTGGATGTATATACACTCAGAGTAACATCACAAGCATAATATTCACCTGAATACATTACACCAACACAGAAAAAGTCACGTTTATTAGATTACATTGATAGCGAAGGAACTAGATTCGGTTCCGAAATATCACCTACTCGAACCGACCTGACCGCGTAGCTCAGTTTCCCGAGCATTGGTCTAGTATTCCAAAGGTCGTATATAGGTTCGATTCCCACCGTAGCCAGGCATATTTTTCAAGCTTGCCCGGTGTGGATATACATTCAAAGTAACATCACAAGCATCATATTCACCTCAGTGCATTACACCAACACAGAAAAAGTCATGATCTATTCTTGTTTTTCCACAATGTTAGTACTGTGATCAGCGACCCGTGTGATTGAGAGTGGACGTATAATCTGAGCTGCTAAATTTATAAGTTCAATACTTCGACTATAATATGTCTAAGGACACAAGTATAAGTCCCTTAGAATACAAAGATCAGTAAAATGTTCAAATTGAGCCTTTAATGGAAGAAGTCAAAAGATGCAAGAAACTACTAATAGCAAATAATCGAAAATGGCAAAAGGCGATCAAACATGCTCGACTTTGAACAAATTAAGAAATTCTCAAGAATTACATACAGAGGTATCACTTCAGTTTAATTTAGCGTAAGGGATTTTTCCAATCCGCCATGTTTTACCGAATGTCCTAAAGAGAGGCCGTTACCCCCTGAAAACATATAGCAAGTTAATGTTCCAAGGGAGTGATTTGGCACTTTCTAAGAACATGACCGCCAGATATGCGCAGTAAAAACTACCTTACGGTATTTTCGCAGTTGTGAGACCTCTGCATGTTATTACTCTGTGATTTTAGGAACGAATATGATGAGCAGAGAAACACGTATAACTGCCTAGAAACACGTATAAGTGACTCCAATACGATCAACGAAGCACTGCAATACAGCTATCAGTACAACATAAACATGGGCGTACGGGTCTAATCTTTTTTTGCGGGAGGGGGGGCACAATATAGTTTGCCCGAATAGGCAAAATGAACATTAATAATTTTTCCCAAATATTTGGCGAGCGGGGGGGGGGGGAGGTCACCGAAAAAAATTTTCCGGACATACCAAAAAAATTTTTCCGGACATATCATAACATTTTCAGCAACATTACGTAATTTTCGGCAAACAAAAATTTTTTTAACAAGATATCAAAATTTTCCCGAAATTTTTACGTATTGCCCGAATTTCGCATTCATTTTTGCCCGATTGTAAAAATTTGGGGGTGGGGGGGAGGGGGGGGCTCGTGCCCCCCGGCCCGTACGCCCATGAACATAAAGCTGACAGGCATTCCTGAGCTTAATTAAAGTGAAAGAGAGATAAGAATACTTGATGAACGTCTTTTCAATGCTATGGGCGTTCACGTGTCACTGACAGACATTGATATTGCTCATCGCGTGGCGATGAGAAATTCAAATAACAGTCAACCAAAACCATCATTTGCAAATTTGTTCAATCAATAGTGCTTATCAAATTGGCCAAACATGATATTTGAAGTAAGCGGACAAACCACTCAATTGCCATTTCGTCTAAATCTAGCCAATCACATTTTCGGAGAATCGAAAAGCTCATTTCATTTTGAGTGGTTAACAGTTTCAAAAATTAATAAAAACACATTATTCCTACCAGCTATAAAATGAAACCAATTTTTAAAAAATGCATCTTGGAAATATGGATTTAAATGACAAAAGTTTTGGCGTAAAATTGTTTTACCATATCTTGGATTTGCAAGAAGTAGTTTTTCGGAATTTGTTTTATTTCATATTTTTCATATTAGTTAAATTGTTAGATAGTTTTTTATTTATATTACTTCAAAATGACGGCCGTTCAACAACGAAGCTTGAAGAAACGATGCATTGAGAAAGTACCCCCAAGGTAGTAACCTGGGGCGCATACTTTCTCTGATCTATATAAATGACCTTTATATTATATATATTGCTTGAATCATGCTATACCTAGAATGTTTGCTGATGACACGAGTATAAGTTATTCAGCAAACACAACAGGTGAGCTCCAAAATGTAATAAACTCTGAGTTAAAAAAGCTTAATAGCAGGCTTATTACTAATAGACTAGTCTAAATATTGTTAAAACGGAGTTTATGGTAATAGGATCTCAGCAAAAAAGGTCCATAGATAGCGAAATAAATATTAGAATCAACGAAAACCAAATAACTAGGGTTGAATCGGTGAATGATAAACTATGTAAGAATGTTGCATCTGCTATTGGTGTAACCTGAGTATCAGGCCCTTGGTATTGAAAGAGGGCCTGACACAATTCGCCTCTAAAGCCATGTTCAACATCCAGAATCTGGATGTTATGCTGATTGGCTAAGAGACGATAAAACGCATCATGTGATTCAAACCGGAATATATGACCGGCGTATGTAAACACCAAAAATAGAATTTGTAATTTTGTCAATATACTGTCAAAAGTGCTTTATTTCTGAAATTTATTTTCAATTAATTAAGCCTAAAAATGACAAGTCGCCGTAGAACGAAAATATGTGGATGTCGGAAATTTTCAAATATTTAGTTCCAAAAAGCTGAAGCCTTGTTTATCAGTTTATTGCCCAGCTGTTTTCCAAGACCTGCAAGGATATAGTAGTCAGCTCGCTCGAACTAATATGCCAACATCAGGCAGAAATTGA